AAGACATGCAGAGGAATGAGATTGCTCAGTTTCAATTCTTGCTGAAGATTGTTCCAAGCAAGTGGAGCTGCGCACATAAAAGCTGTCTTACCTAAGACAGTCCTTGCTCTTGGCACATCTAACAATACTACATCATGCGATCTCAGACAATAGCTGCTTGTAACTCTCTGTGTTATCAGAGAGCAGATATAATACGGGAGTTTACCCAACAAAGCTTTAGAAATAAACGTGTACCAATGACTGAGCCTCCGTACAGTAAGTGATGGCAAACCTGCCTTGGCATACAGGGTACAGTGATGAGTACGTGCTTTACAATTTGTGACAAATCTCAGTGCGCTGTGATAGGCGGCATCTAACTAAACTATCCTTTGATTGTATATGCAATCAAACCACTTCTAAAAATTTGCCTCAGATTCACCTTGAGTGAAATAATCAAAGGATGGCACCTTTTAAGACGCTGTTTAGTATGAATTGTGGAGAAGTTCTCTAGAAATTGACCAGAAAAAATGTCAAACAGATGAAGTTAAGTAACAGCCAGTTTAGGTTTTTCTTTTATCTAAACTATATTGTTTTTGTTTTTGAGCATTTGAAGTGCATTTTTAATTTGGTCAATGTTTGTTGTGGTACAATATAATCAACACCAAGACCAAATGCTCCACTAATATAGAATTCAGGTTCAGTTATTATTTAAAAGACTGTAACATTAACACAGAAGCATTGCAAATGGAAGCTGTAGCAATGTAAATCAATCTAGCGGCTGAGATATTAGATCAGTAGCGTAACCAGAGGATGGTGCATGGTGAGAGCAGCATGAAATTAGATTTCAGGAAGGCAGCACCAGTGAAAGTGACTGGCTTCAGTCACAATCTCTGAAAGCAGAGAGAAATATGAGGAACATTCACCTTGTAGGACATCTTTCCGAGTCTTTAGCTTTATGAGCTGTCAAGGGAAAGAAAGGAAAGACGGGAAAAAGTCTTTGGACAAGGTCTGATCTCATCTACCTGAAAGCATGGCTTTTTTACTATCAATCAAAATACTTTATAATCCAAGGGGGAATTTAAGCTTTGTGACGGTTGAACCATATTATTATATTTTATTGAGGGATTAGAAAGTTTAGTTTAATTTGTTTCACAAAAGTAAGACATAATGAAATGGGACACCCTGTTAAGCTATCTGAAACAAATGATATTAAATATAAGTTACCTTTCACATTATCTTTGTTTGGGAAGTACATTGTGATTAAAAAAGGATTTTATTGACTTAAAATGCACCGTATTGCGTATAAAAATACTCCAAACCACGGTGTACCAATGGCTGGAACTGCGACAACAATTGATAACCAAAATCAAATGGCAGCACTGATCAAGGTTTACTGTAACGGTCCAAGTCTGTTCACAATTTCTTACGCACGTCCTTAAACAATGCCAGAATAGCCCAACTTGTTCCCGTTAGTGTTCACTTTCAGTCTGTCTTCTTCTGTGGATTTCTCTGACGTCCAACGCTCTGTCTTTTGTCCTCTTTCCTTCTCTCCCTTCATCCTCCTTAGCAACGGTCATTTTGCTTGCAGCGGTGTGTTATCGAGTATTAACAACCTCTCAAATGTCCAAATTGACCAATCGAAATCGAGTATTCAACTAAGCCTTGTAATAAACTGCGGTAACCGAACAACACACAATGTGGTGCCTGTACCACAAAGTGAGATAATTGGGTGGACAAACTCTGGTTTAATAGGAGTAGATCACCATGGTTACCAGAGTATATCACCACGGTTACCGGGGGAATATTGCACAGTTAGCCTGCTACCAGAACAAGCTAACTTCTGAGGATGTGCTCAAAACCTGCCAACATACTGTATGGACTACTTTCTACCTAAAGGTGGATTTGGTTCGCAGTAGGTCAGTCATCCATCCTGAAGAAAATAGACAGACATGATAAAACTCAAGGCTCCAATATTCACTAAACCACTAAAACAAAGTGAAAAGGAATTGCTTCTTCTCTGCAAAGTTGCCTTGACTTTTTTCATTTAAGTGATGGCTGCTGGAACAATGCTGTTTTAATGCTGCTTTGTGTAGAAGGTAAAAGCTGAAATCCACTTTGCAGAAGGTAAAAATAGTATTTTTTAAATGTAAACGTATTAGATATAGGTATAGAAATGTAAGATATAACTCCTCACAACATCTGACAGAGTCGTGGCTGGTTAAAATCTCCTGGAGCCTGTAACTGTAACAGAGACATACTGGATGAGATGGGCTGATTTTCCCACTTGCTCTGACTCATATTTGTACAGAGGATTAAAAATAAGGGGGCGAAAGCACACATCCTCGATGGGAACTAGGCGAGGAGCAAACTTAGTCAAACAGAATCCAATTTACTGTAACTTATAGTTTAAAAGACAGCCCGAAATGTTAAACTATATATTAAAACATTGCAAAAAGCTATCTAGGTAAAATAAAGTGTTTTCATTTGTTTAAAGCAGAGAATAAAACAACAAATGTATTATTAAATAAAACCAATATATTTATTTCCTTCCAAGTTCCAAGTAAGTTTAGGCGAACCACCCCAACACACTTTTTGACCATTAAAGCATATCAAAATGTCACAGTAGAGGCACAAAATACAAATATAAACCTGTAAATGAGCAGAATAGGGCCCCTTTAAGTACCGATAACTAACAATACACAGATATTTTATAGATAGTCAAATCATAATGCTGTTCAAGACACTCCATGTGTCACTACAGTATACTGTACGTAATGGCAATTACATCTGCATTTTAATTGCCATAGTCTCTCTTCTTACATTGTTGAGGCTTCTTCTCTATGTGATTGCACCTCAGGGAAATAAACACATAACAAAGTATAAAATCTTGTGTCTTTTATTAGAAATCTGCACATTATAAAATATAACATGATGATTATAAAAGCAACATGTCAGAAAGACCTCATCACTTCTTTTCCTCTCCGTGTTTTGACAGTCTGAAATAACTTTTTATGTACATCACGTATTCATAACGAATTGTTCTTTACACATAACAGCAAAGAAATATGCACTCCATATAAAACAAATGTATAGCCTTTGCTTTACTTTAATATGTATTAGATATATAATGTCTCTACAGTTTTTTACTACTATAGCTTAGTTTAATTATAATAATTAACCTTTCAATATATCAATTTTGATGTTGATTTTTACACCACATGTATCGACAGTATGTCTAATTAAATAACATATTTAATTAATGGTGTTGGGGATATCATGTGTGTTTAACAAGTGTGCCTCTACTAGATTAACTCAACTGGATTAGAAAAAAAACTGAGAAAACAGAACCATTTAAAAAACAGCTTTGTTTTCCCAGTTACCTTGTTTGGGAAGTAACAGATTCCATGTAACGGGATTACGTAATGAGACAAAAAAAGGTAATTCTCTTGTAGTTACATTAAGAAAATATGTAATTAGATAACTGTTACGTTTTCCAAAAGATGGGGATTCAAATGTTACAAAACATCTAAAAATTAGAATATTGTGTAAACCTACAGTACTGCCTGAATCTGCTTCATGGTTTTCACTTTCTTTGGTTCATTTGTTCTTTTTTTTATTCAGTAGGTGAACTGATGTTCATAAAATCGTGTGTGTAAGCTTAACTGTATGTACTAAACTAAAACAGATAATTTTCTTTTAGCTCAAATTGTATTTGTGCTTTTTAAAACTGTAGTATGACATGTGCCCGTGTGTTTCAGTGTTGGTATACGGAGGCAGGTTTTCCTATAAATAAAATCTCTGAGTAGAGGACATATTTTGTTATACTAAATATCTTGGTTTCTTCTTTTCTAAGGTTACATTGTTCTCTTGTCTCATAATCAACCCGGTATCAGGGCAAGACGTGGACATGTGAGGATTTACCATGCTGGGAGACGTGAAGATGTCACAATTTCGTCCCTTCAAACGTGACAGTTACANATGACCTGAATATTTGTGACTGCGTCAAAAATATAATGCGACCGTGATTGATTGAATTGAATTGAGGGAAGCCATAGAGGGAGTTCGATGCAACTTTTCCAAATATGCTCCTTTTGTCCTTTTCAAAAGTGTTGGTCTTTATCTTGAGGTTGTGGCCCATGATGAGGATAGTCTGGGTATGCTGCTGCTCCTGCAATGCAAACGTTTTTAGGATGGACAGGTAAAAGTTCTTTATCTTTCCCTTTACTGATCAATTTGGGCTATAGTCAAAAGGATCCATTTTT